TGGGGTTCCTGTATCTGGGCACTCGTGGGGGGTCCCCAGGGCGTTCCGATCTCCGGGCGCTCATGGCAGGGGTCCCCATGGGGTCCCAGTGTCTGGGCGCTCATGGGCTGTCCCCATGGGGGTCCCCATATCCGGGTACTCATGGGGCCCTGGTGTCTGGGTGCTCCCTAGGGGGGTGTCCTCATGGGGGTCCCCGTCTCCCGGCGCTCATGGGGCCCTGGTGTCTGGGTGCTCCCTAGGGGTGTCCCCACGGGAGTCCCCATGTCCGGGTGGTCATGGGGGTGTCCTCATGGGGGTCCCCATGTCCAGGCGCTCATGAGGCCCCAGTGTCTGGGTGCTCCCTGTGGGGGTCCCCAAGGGGGTTCCCATCCCTGGGCACTCATGGGAGGGGGTCCCTGTGGGGTCCCCATGTCCGGGCACTCATGGGGTGTCCTCATGGGGGTCCCCGTGTCTGGGCGCTAATGGGGCCCCGGTGTCTGGGTGCTCCCTAGGGGTGTCCCCATGGGGGTTCCCCTTTCCGGGTGCTCATGGGGGGTCCCCCGGGGGTCCCCGTGTTCAGAGGCTCTTGGAGGGGTCCCCATGGGGGTTCCCATATCCGGGCACTCATGGCAGGTCCCCATGGGGGCTCCTATAGCCGGGTGCTCATGGGGGTGTCGCCATGGGGGTTCCCATCTCCAGGCGCTCATGGGGTGTCCCCCCTGGGGACTCACATCCCCTGGGGATGTCTGGGCACTCATGGGGCCCCGGTGTCTGGGTGCTCCCTAGGGGTGTCCCCAAGGGGGTTCCTGTCTCTGGGTGCTCATGGGGGGTGCCCGTATCTGGATGCTCCCCAGGGGTGTCCCCAAGGGTCCCCGTGTACAGGTGCTCATGGGGGTTCCCCCCGGGGGTCCCCGTGTCGGGGTGCTCATGATGGGGATCCCCATGTCCGGGTACTCATGGGGCCCCGGTGTCCGGGCGCTCATGGGGGTGTCCTCATGGGGGTCCCCGTGTGCAGAGGCTCATGGAGGGGTCCCCATGGGGGTTCCCATATCCGGACACTCATGGCAGGTCCCCATGGGGGCTCCTGTACCTGGGTGCTCCCCAGGGGTGTCCCCGTGGGGGTTCCCATCTCCGGGCGCTCATGGGGGTTCCCCCCGGGGGTCCCCGTGTCGGGGCGCTCATGATGGGGATCCCCATGTCCGGGCACTCACGGGGTGCCCCCCCGGGAGTCCCCGTGTGTGGGCGCTCATGGGGGGTCCCCCCGGGGGTCCCCGTGTGCAGAGGCTCATGGAGGGGTCCCCATGGGGGTTCCCATATCTGGGCACTCATGGCAGGTCCCCATGGGGGCTCCTGTATCCGGGTGCTCATGGGGGGGTCCCCATGGGGGTCCCCGTGTGCGGGCGCTCATGGGGTGCCCCCACGGGGGTCCCCATGTCCGGGTGCTCATGGGGGGGTGCCCATGGGGGTTCCCGTCTCCGGGCGCTCATGGGGTGTCCCCCCGGGGGTCCCCATGTCTGGGTGCTCATGGCGGGGTCCCCATGGGGGTTCCCATCTCCGGGCGCTCATGGGGTGTCCCCACGGGGGTCCCCATGTCTGGGCGCTCATGGAGGGTCCCCAAGGGGGTTCCCATATCTGGGCACTCAAGGGGGGTCCCCATGGGGTCCCTGTGTCTGGGCACTCATGGGGCCCCGGTGTCTGGGTGCTCCCTAGGGGTGTCCCCATGGGGGTTCCCCTTTCCGGGTGCTCATGGGGGTGTCCTCATGGGGGTCCCCGTGT